TCTCTCTCTCTCTCTCTCTCTCTCTCTCTCTCTCTCTCTCTCTCTCTCTCTCTCTCTCTCTCTCTCTCTCTCTCTCTCTCTCTCTCTCCTTCCATAAACTAACACGATTTACGTGTCTAGCGATTCAGCTAATTTCAAAAAAGTAGTAAAGGCATTTGAAGACGAGCAGACAGATCTACCTACTGATGTTCCATTTGCTGAACTGTTACTTTTTGCCTCATCTGACCAGAATCAACAGATACACAAGGAAGAAGTGACGAGAAACGGAAGGAGATTTTCAGAAGATAAAAGGACATGCTCAATTCTTTGCCAGGGAAACCTGTGTCCTCTACTCCAGCCCTCTACTCCAACAATAAGTGTAACTATATGGAAAAAAAGTTTAAAAAAAAAAAAAAAACTCAAAACGAGTTGGAAACTTGAAAGTACATGAAAAGTTTGAAAACATGAAAATACATGAAAACTAGTATGCACCAACTCTGTTACTCTGTCATAAGTTGATTCATTACTGGGGATTTGGTCTCAACAAAATGCGCTAAAGCAACGTGAAGTTCATGAACTGAATTCTCACTGTGGGGTAAACATTGCTTGGGGAGGAGAGGAGGAGAAACACTCCATGTCAGTTTCACTACCCTTCATTTGTCCAGCTACCTATTGCATCCTTGTCCGCAATCCCCAAGCCTGATTCAAGGGCCCTAAAAATTCAGCATATGAACTTATGAACCTCTGGCAAACTGACAAGCGCAGTTGAAAAAGCAGAGAGACGCTTTGGCAACGAAGCTTTGCTCTTCATTGAAGTTCATTAAACTTGATCTAGGCTTCTTTCGGCACATCATCTCACACTCTCGCAGGTAAATCCAGGAGACTTCAAAATAGGCAGAGAAGAGGAGAGATTTTGTCACAGTAAGACCAAACCTGGAGCTGGAGAAGACCACTGATAACAAAAGAAGCACCAGTTACGCTTCCTTCCTTCCGCACGCGAGGGAGGATCGTCCTAGAATTGCGGTACCTGAGCACAACGAGGTCTGCCAGCATACGAAGATTGCTGAGAATACATACGGTGGGTAGATAAATAAAGGAGAAAAAGAGAGCAGTAAAACAAATCCTGCTTACCTGGCTGCAGGGACATTTGTGCCATCCGCCTCTCCATTATGATGTCACATCCTTCTCCATAATCAGCTCGCATGTCACCATCAAGCAGTCACACACTATCTCACATGCTCACACAAAGGCGTGTGATGCTCACACAAAGGCGTGTGATGGATGCAGTTTACTCGCACTCTCCACTGCACGGAGAGCCTATCAGGAGCGGATCGACATCTCCAGTACTGACCTGATCGACACCTCCATTGCGGAAGAGCTTTATTCGTACCCAGGTAAATCATTTGGACGACACACATCCTCCTCAAGTCTTTTCGACTAATGGAAGAAAGAGATGGCACCCATAAGCATGCGTCCCTCGTCCATGAACTGCACAGAGACAGGCAGAAAGGGCGATCGTCGCACACGGCATGCCTTATGCGAAAGATCTATTCTCTGCGATGGTAAAGCCTACATGGACAACAATTGACACAGACCGGACGCAAGGCCCGCCGCAAAAGCGGCGCGCCTGCCTATGCTTTCCAGACTTCCCATCCATTCCGACTCGTCAACACCCCAATTTTCGCGACTAGCGGAGCGCAGTCTGAAAAGCAGAAATGCCCGGGAGCAGTAATACTCTGAAACACCTGACAGGCTTTTCCAGCCCAGACACCTGGCATCTGACTCCAGAGTACTATCAGAATAGTATGTTCCTCTCAGATTTGCGCGATAGAGTAGTATAGACGGATATGACAACGAACTTCGAAAAGGTGAACAAGGTAGCCCTCCTGCTCCCTCCTGCCTCATGCAAGCGTCATGACGATTACCCGTTTGATTGATTCCCCACCACCAGCCAGTTTCACTTGATCTGCTCTCCGATAATTTTACGCTCCATCCTCCTTTACGACAGGAGAGCTGGATGCTCTTTCTGGTTGCAAAAGACTGCACACAACATCTCCCCTCACTCCAGCCCCTGGCCTTTATTGCCTCCACCTGATCCCGCAAACATCGACCAATCCCTCTCTGTTGCTCCCGCAAACATCGACCGATCCCTCTCTGCTGCTCGCTCTCCTCTGGAACCCTCACCGACAGGCGTTCTGCCTTGTGACATTGCGAGATGTGAGTGCTGCCGGTGATGACGACACTTGGAGTTCTATCAGCTTTCCTCTTCCTTAGGACTGTGATGATGTAGAATAGTCCGTAACAACAGAGAGTCTATCGAAGATGTGTTGCTGAACAAGAGCCTCACCTTACTGTTGCGCGGATATGGAAGAGTCCACTGTGTCGCCATCTCCGATTCCTTCAATTGCCGGAGAGACCGTAAACCCTAAAGCCAACTGCACTCAGGACTGTGACGATGCAAAATACTCGAATAAGAAACGATTGCTTGCCTACCGAAGATGTGTTGCTGAACAAGAGCCTCACCGTACTGTTGAGCGGATATGGAAGAGTCCACTGTGTAGCTATCTCCGATTCCTTCACTCGCCGGACAGACGCTAAACCCTAAACCCAACTGCATGCGGGACTGTGACGATGCAGGATAGTCGAATAACAAACGACTGCCTACCGGAGATGGGTTGCTGAACAAGAGCCTCACCTTACCGTTGAGCTGATATGGAAGAGTCCACTGGGTCGCCATCTCCGATTCCTTCAATTGACGGACAGACCCTACACCCTAAACCCAACTACGCTCAGAACTGCGACAATGCAGAACACTCGAATAACAAATGATCACCTACCGAAGATGTGTTGCTGATCAAGAGCCTCAACTTACTGTTGAGCTGGTGTAGAAGAGTTTCGCTGGGTCGCCAAATGACTCGCCCTCGCCATCTCCGACTCCTTCAGTTGCCGGAGTAGGGATGCCTGCAAATGTTTTCCCAACTGCACTCAGGACTGTGACGATGCAGAATACTCGAATAACAATCGGTTATCTACAGAAGATGTGTTGCTGAACAAGAGCCTCAGCTTACTGTTGAGCTGATACAGAAGAGTCCACTGGGTCGCCATCTCCGATTCCTTAAGCTGGCGGACAAAGGATGCCTGCAAATGTTTTCCCAGCTGCACTTCCACCTCTGTGCCAAGTGACAGGTTGGCAAGGGATTTGAATGGGTCGGATAGCGGGTCCATGGAAAGCAGGTTAGGTATCTGTGGAGCATAAACCAGTCTCCACCTCGCCTGGCCAAACTCGCCCTTTGTCTCTATCTTGGGCATCAATGTCTCAACAGTTGCAGCCTCCAGCTTCTTGAATGCTAGTTGACCATCTTCCTCCAGTAATGACTCCGCAAGCTGGCTCTCAAACACTCGTGCAGCCTGCATATTAACCAACTCATTGGAGACAGAGCATAAGCACGGGCAAAGGTACACACACACAGTATCAGCGTTCAGTTCTAAGTTGGTATCGTGTGTGCGTGTGTGTGTGTGTGTGTTAAATTTCCACCACAACAGCCCCTCTGTGTGTATGTGTGTGTGTTGTTAAAGCAACCCAAATTCTCTCTCTCATTTCCCCCACAAATCATAACAAACCATCGAGAACGAAAAAACTATAGATAGACAATATAATAGGAAACTAGATGACCAGTTGCGGCTTCGCTCGCAAAAGTGCGTCAGGTGATGCACGAAGGGTGGAGGCAAGTGACCGATGAAAACTCTCTCTCTCTCTCTCTCTCTCTCTCTCTCACACACACACAAACACACACACACACACACACACACACACACACACACACACACACACAGAAACCGAGAAAATTTGCGCCACGTGGTGCAGCCATGTGGTGCCATTTCACACCTTTAGCAACCCCCCCTGCCCCCCCGACTTTCCCCCTAACTTTTCCTATTCTCCCTCCTTTCCCTCTATCCTTTACCCTCCTTTGCTCGTCCTTCCCCTCTCTCCCCCTCCTCCCTCTCCTCCTCCTCCTCCTCC